TATTATATTATGCTATATAAGAGTGTAGACAAAAACCTGGTTATTTGGCGCGCCTTGGGAAAGGTGATGATGATTATATAACATTAACAAAGTTATAAGTGATTGAAGCTATTAAACTATTGGAAGAGCAGAAGAAAGCCACTTTACACAATATAAATTTGTTTTTTCTGAAAAAAAGAATGCAGTACCAATACTAATTTTCCAATATACAAAACAAAATTCATATAAGAAATATCCTATGCTAGTCGATTATTTAATGTAAGTCTAAGATAGAATGTAGAAGTGGTGATGATTATCATCATTCTATCTAAGTGCACGGCTGAACATAGTCTTATAAGGGACTTTTAATTCAGTTGCCTCGTTCGGCAGACGGGACTACAACGGCAGGTTTTTATTATTTTAAGTTGATATCAGAACGATGCTGAGCCCATTTCCTGTTATAGTTTCCCTCTGTCGACTTTTACAGCATCCACAGGATGATATAGGACAGTGGATTCTTTTGTTCCGCCAATACTCGACATATAGCTCCTAATAGGTGAGATCTATGCGCAGCAGTTTAAATTTTTTATAGAAAAAGGATGTTAAGCGTGCACACGGTCCACCTGACGATAAGTGGATGCTGTAGCCCATAGACATGTATGTCCATCAACAATTGAGAATCAAAATTCAGATGCATTTTCACACTTGAAGACTAACATGGAATGCCTTGTTGCTTGTTATAAAGGGATCGGTTCTCTACATACACCATACGATACACAGAAGAATAAAGCTGCTATTTTGCTGTGATTGTTTATGAGAGCGTTGTCCTTTTAGGTCGAGCTGACTCATTCATGCTGCAACCATATCATAACTGCAGCGAGGCTCTACCACGTGTATTTTATACGTTGATGGATAATAAATATAATACAATATTTTTATATAAAAATCTTTACCATTCCATACATTTAACGTATTAAATAAAAATTACAAAGTATATTTAATTTTAACTTATTCTTAAAACTGAAACGAATAGATAGTAAACGAGTTAAAATTCACTGTGTAGTAGCAGCGTGTATTAAAAAGCGACGGATACAAACTGGAACAGGAGATGGGAAGTAGCACCTTCCTGATAACAAAACAAAACATATTGGTAAATCCAACTGAGCATGCCTTCGCATTAAAAAAATTACGTATAGCATGATTATATGGAATTTTTTTTAAAGTAGTTTAAATACACACAAATTTTCACTAATAACCTTATTATACTTCAAATTTTCCGATAATTTTATGTCAAACTTCAATTTGAAAAGTTTGGAAAATCCAAAGAGCACGACTCATAATGCTCATATGATCATCATATCATCATTCATGTCACTCCAAAAAGTCCAAGACGTCATCATCATCATCATCATTACAGCCTTTCATAAGTCCACTGCTGAACATAGGCCTCCCCCAAGGAATGCCACAAAGCACGGTCCTGAGCCACCTGCATCCATCGACTTCCTGCATGTCTTACCAGGTTGTCACTCCATCTCGTGGGGGTCGCCCTACACTTCGCCTACCGGTACGAGGCTGCCACTCACGAACCTTTCTTCCCCATCGGTTGTCGGTTCTTCGAGCTATATGGCCGGCCCATTGCCACTTCAGCTTACAAATCCGTTGGGCTATGTCGGTTACTCTGGTTCTACTGCGGATATACTCATTTCTAAGTTTATCAAGCTGAGAAACCCCGAGCATAGCCCAAAACTCCAAGACGTATTCAAGTATAAATATTACATCCTACTTACTTTTAGTACGTACTACTATTATTTATTCTGTGCTTTTAAAATATTGTAATAAAAAAAATTCTTATTATTATTATAATTAAGTATTTAAGAAGTTTGGTTATTCGAATAATGTGTATTTGTAGAGCGATCTTTTTGAGCCGCTGCAAATAACCGAAACAATGTCCCCTCACGACGGCAACTGACGCCGAACTGAGTGAGTGAATAAAGTACTCTGTGGCTGTAGCTCCCTATTTACAGAAATAATTTACATACAAGGCTACAAAATCAACGAAAATTTCGCCATTTTGGAGCTGAAAAAAATTAATTATATCTAAACATAACAAAATCACACTGCCATTTACATTCAGTGGCTTCCCACATGATAGATGAAGAGATTAAAAAATAGATTGAGTTAAACAATTGATATTTTCAAAAGTTATCGTGTTTACAAGCCTTGGGGACATGAAAAATCGACACCATAAGCCACTAAAATCCCTTTTCTATTTAAAAACTAGCTGTGCCCCGCGGTTTCACCCGCGTATATCACGCGTCTGCGCCTTGCGACATTCGAACTTCGAGAGAGACATCATGACGGATGGTTGCTGAATTAACAAAGATTTAAAAAGTGAAATATGTTACTAAAATTACATGGTTAACGTAATTGGTGGTTATGCATGATACAGGTACTGATACGAATAATGTGGCCTAGTTTGTACTATATTATGCTATATAAGAGTGTAGACAAAAACCTGGTTATTTGGCGCGCCTTGGGAAAGGTGATGATGATTATATAACATTAACAAAGTTATAAGTGATTGAAGCTATTAAACTATTGGAAGAGCAGAAGAAAGCCACTTTACACAATATAAATTTGTTTTTTCTGAAAAAAAGAATGCAGTACCAATACTAATTTTCCAATATACAAAACAAAATTCATATAAGAAATATCCTATGCTAGTCGATTATTTAATGTAAGTCTAAGATAGAATGTAGAAGTGGTGATGATTATCATCATTCTATCTAAGTGCACGGCTGAACATAGTCTTATAAGGGACTTTTAATTCAGTTGCCTCGTTCGGCAGACGGGACTACAACGGCAGGTTTTTATTATTTTAAGTTGATATCAGAACGATGCTGAGCCCATTTCCTGTTATAGTTTCCCTCTGTCGACTTTTACAGCATCCACAGGATGATATAGGACAGTGGATTCTTTTGTTCCGCCAATACTCGACATATAGCTCCTAATAGGTGAGATCTATGCGCAGCAGTTTAAATTTTTTATAGAAAAAGGATGTTAAGCGTGCACACGGTCCACCTGACGATAAGTGGATGCTGTAGCCCATAGACATGTATGTCCATCAACAATTGAGAATCAAAATTCAGATGCATTTTCACACTTGAAGACTAACATGGAATGCCTTGTTGCTTGTTATAAAGGGATCGGTTCTCTACATACACCATACGATACACAGAAGAATAAAGCTGCTATTTTGCTCTGATTGTTTATGAGAGCGTTGTCCTTTTAGGTCGAGCTGACTCATTCATGCTGCAACCATATCATAACTGCAGCGAGGCTCTACCACGTGTATTTTATACGTTGATGGATAATAAATATAATACAATATTTTTATATAAAAAACTTTATCATTCCATACATTTAACGAATTAAATAAAAATTACAAAGTTTATTTAATTTTAACTTATTCTTAAAACTGAAACGAATAAATAGTAAACGAGTTAAAATTCACTGTGTAGTAGCAGTGTGTGTTAAAAAGCGACAGACAGAAACTGGAACAGGAGATGGGAAGCAGCACCTTCCTGATAACAAAACAAAACAATAAAAAACTGCTGTCGCCATCCAGCTTGCCGAGCCTGACAAATATGGCAGAATCTTTATAATATAAGGCAGTCTATGAGGGAGGCCTATGGTCAGAAGTGGAGTTTAATGGGCTGTTATGGATGAATGGAATAGAAGATGAAATTAAACTCGATAAATTTCGTAAAATTTGTTTTATTTAACAAGAAATGTTTATTGGATGCACGCAACTGCAAAAAAACTAAGTGCAACAAAAACATTATATTACTATTAAACACAGATCACTCACAAAAAAGGTGAATTAATGAAAGTTGGTAAAAAAATAGAATGCATTTAATTTTGGTTACTAAATATATAATATATATTTATAACTTGGGTTAAGTACCTTTACTTGACATACTGATAAACTACGAGTATAATATGTGACCTGAGTTCAATTACGTTACAATTAAGAATGCTTATCTCGGGGCATACTCTACGCCACCGATTTATTTCAAAACTAGATGGAACAAATTCAAAACAAAAGCAAAATTAATTATTTCTTCGAAATTTATAGATTTTGATGAGAATTGTTATTAAGTATTTATTTTGTAAAATAGTGTTAAAATAAGTTAGTTATTCAATGCATAGCTTTTGTGAACATTTGTGAGCTGAATGAAAAAACGTTAATTCTGTACTACCTATAAAGATTTTTTATATAGACATTCCGTAATAGTGATGATATAAGCAAATTCAGGCCAATAGTTTTTTAAACTGACAAAAGAGTGAAAACGGGCACACATTCTCTAGGCGGCAAGTGAATACTTTGGCCCGTAGAAACAAACATCTATTTACAATTAAGAATGAAATTACAGATGAAATGTTATCCCTGAGGACTATGATTGAATGTCTCGTCCGTCTCGTCTCTGATTTTTATCTCTCACCACACTTAACACAGCAACATTATACTGTTATTTAACGTAGTATGCTGCATGATATTTTGCAGGTCAAAACTATTTTTCTAACGAATTAAAGTGACAAACGATCTTATGTCATGTGTATTTCCTAACTTATCGATAATGACATTGGATATGACATTGGACTAAAGCTTTTTTAATTAAAACCTTTAGCAATCATTCATCCTTGTCACATTAAATTATTATTATAAACCGAATTATTAGTGCATACCTATCCAACATGGCGAATATGGGCCAATCCCAAATGCTTGATCATTAATTACAGGTTCTATAAATGTTTAGCAATGTATTTAAAAGGCTACTATGAAATATTTTAGTAACTGAAACGCCGTCAGCCAATATTTGAGCGCAGTAGTAGCCACTTCCAGTGAAGCAAATTCTTCGTTTCATATATGTCTGCTACATTTTATACGCAGAACATCGGGGATTAACATTTTCCTAGTTTGCAGTGTATATAAGCAAGTTCTGGTTTAGTATCGCATCAATTAGTAAAGGTAATTTGTTAATAACACTGACTAAAATACGTAAAATAAAATAATAATATAAGCCAAAATGTGCAAATCCATAACAATAATCCTTTCAGTGTTGATGGTCTGCGCTAATGGTCGGTATTTAATTAAGGAAGATTACAGAAACCCATATGTATTTGTGGAAGATGGTCGCGACGTCAGAGTTTACGATTTAGAAGAAGCTTTGTCAGAAGATCAACAGGAGTTGACCCATGCGAACAATATTTTGCGAGTTCGTCGTCAAGCCCATGGAGCTCTAAGTTCGAACCCCGATGGAACATCAAATGTAATGGCGAAGGTGCCACTATCTGTTAATGATAAAAACATGTTAAGTGCAGTTGGTACTGTTAGTGGAGCATCTGGTAATGGGGGCTTTAAGGCGGCTGGTGGCGGTTTGGCTTGGGATAATGTGTAAGTGTGCTTGCATCAAGTTATACTCGTAACGTCATAATATATTTTATAAGAGTTTATTTGAGATTAAAGCGTAGCTCCTTGGCGATTTAGCCTGACAAACTCGACATGAGTTGTTGCTTTGAGGTTGACTGCCTCGTCGGTATAGTGGATGTATGTAAGCTCGTCTGCTAAACGTGTTGTCCCGGGTTCGAATCCCAGCTTGGTAAAAAAACTGCATTCAACTACACTGCATTATATGTAACTACAGGGATAATTATAGTCGTTAATTAGTATTAGTTGAAATTACACTGTCGTGTGTATTCTAATTCTTTTAAACTTATATATTAACCGTTATAAAAATTAAATTACGACAGATCGCTAGACTGGAATTAGAGTACTTTAAGTAGATATAGTATTGATTCCTGAACTTACTAAATGTGCCAAATTTTCAGCAACGGGCATGGCGCAAGTGTAACTGGACAGCATATACCTGACTTTGGAGATCAACTGACCGCGGCCGCAAAATTAAATGTTCTTCACAACGATAAACATGATGTAACCGCTCAAGCGTTTGCAACGAGAACCTTTCCCAGCAATCCCAACGTTCCCAACTTTGACACGTACGGTGGCAAAGTTGGATACACATACGAGTAAGTACAAAAGTTGTGAGGGTTTCATTGCATGGTAAGATATCGCCCCGCTGCTTCTATTGTTATGTCTATCAAGACTTCATATATTTATAATTCTTATAAAATTTTTCAGATATTTAAGTTTTCTAATGGTCTTCACAGTTGAGCATGTAATAAGTGTGCATTTAATATTGCGGTTAACAAATATCAGTGGTACTGGCGGTAATTAAATTCGGTATTCGCGTACTATTGTCTTACTGCCTTGTTAGTCTCCTCCAGCGGCCATAAGGGCGAGTGCTGATAATGTTGTGGTTCCGAAGTTGAATCTCGGACCGTGTTTAATAAGTTATTGCGATTTTCCGTCAAGGTATTCTCAGTAACAGCCCAGTAAACCTGTTTGTCCTGCGCCTGTACTTTCTCTGCTGGTGTCGCATTGCCGCCACAACGGTTTGTGTGTGGAAATAGAAATTGCTTTTGTGTTTGCGCACGCAGTCGTCGACTATCATCCTTTTCTACAAAGATAGTTAGTCTCCGCTCAGACTTCTTTATAAACTTAAGTGATAAACGAACTTACAGTCTAACTGATAATACTGCAGTCCACGGACACCTACAGCTGGAACCAATTTCAAACAAAGAAGGCTATATGTACGTTGCCACTTTTGTTGAATACCTCAAAGCCTGTAAATAAACTGTCTCACTATGTCTCTTAGACCGCAACATAGTAATATAGCTCAGCTACATGTACGTGTATAGTATAAGACTGATTGCCATTACCATCACCCGAGTAACCCGAGTTTAATGTTAATTATAGGAATTCAATCAATTGAATTTACTATTAAAATTGTGTTTATCATGTGCACATCGGGGAAAGAGAATATCGCGAGAAAATCTATATTTTTCAGAAATATTTTGAGAACATGTAGAGTTTTGTATGACAGAATTGCGGAAGCATGAATACCTCAGAAATGAGCAAAAGCTTGTGTAGTAGGTTGTATATGTGTAATTAATTTCTTATATTTTAGTGACAAAGTGGGAGCGTCTCTTGGTATGCAACACACGGATCTTTTCAAGAAGACTGACTACTCAGCGATGGGCAATTTGAACCTGTTCAAAGGGCGTGACTCTTCCCTAGACTTCAATGCGGGTATGAGCAAGTCTGTGTCTCCGTACATACCTAGCAGCAGATGGGAGCCAAGCGCTGGCCTCTCTTTCACTAAGTGGTTTTAAAATAAATAAGAAAATAGACTTAAAATATAAATAGAAACAGTTTATAATAACATTTTCGTCTTTGATTTATCACTACTTATTAACTTATAATTGTTTGAGTTACGTCAGTGAAATTTGGTATATAAACGTCAATATTATTTAAAGTGTTCAATATCAATTAAAAATTTTTGAGTTCCGTTGATATTTATTGTTTGTCCTTTGAAGTAAGAATTATAATGACGCAAGCTTATAAAAATATGTGTAATAAATTATAGTGGGTCTACTCCTTTGTTCTACCGCAAAATACCTACAAGTCTGTTTCTATGTCTTGTTGTGGTCTTGTCGCTGAAAATATGCCAGTGTTGTCACAAAAACATTTTCTTAGATAATAATAACATTACATTATATTTTATCTTTATTCCTCGTTATAATTTATTTTTTTTATACCTAGATACAAACTAATTACTACTTTACAAAACTAGTTGCATTTCATATCAGTGGTACTGGCGGTAATTAAATTCGGTATTCGCGTACTATTGTCTTACTGCCTTGTTAGTCTCCTTCAGCGGCCATAAGGAAAAAAGAAGAAAAAGAGAAAGAAGCGAAAGAGGTTTGTAAGGATCGTGACACTTAGCGATCTGTTCTCTCTGGCTACCCCGTCAGGGATTGTGCGTGAAGATAAGTATAAGTATAAGTTGCATTTCGCAGCTTCACCTAATTTGTCGTAATGGAAACAAAGGCTTGTGCTTGTAGGTACCTACCTAATCTTACTTTAATTTACCTATATAGCAGTATCTCAGGTATTCCGCTTAAAATATTGGATAGGGGGTTGAACATAATAAATAAATAATGTCAAAATTATACGTTGATTCTGTTTCCGCCTTTTTACAGATGCAACCGACAAATATTTACGACAATTATTATAGGATTTTTTTAAATGTCTTTTGTTTTTTTTTCAAATAAAAATCATCATAACGCAATTTGTTTTGCGAATCTAATTAAATATCAGCTAATATACCATCATATTTTATAAACAAAATCGATTTGATTTAAATTTGACAGTTTTAAAATTACTGCATAATATGGCCTCACTTCATTTCATAAAGCAACACGGGCCGTTGACGTACCGAACCTCTATGATTCATTCAGTCATCTTAATGACTTCATTTGGAGTTTCAGTGAATATCAATTGATTTCATGTAATTTGATTATTAAAAAACCACCCCTTACCTTTAAGTACTTTAAATAGTTATATAATGAAATGTAAAGCAATATGTAATAAATAAGACAGAATATAATAAATTATTTCATTTGCATTTTTGTCTTTGATTTATCACTATTAGTTAACTTACATTTGTTTGAGTTACGCCAGCAAAATTTGGTATATAGATATTAATAATATTTAATATTATATTATATACAACATTCAAAACTATAATAAAATAAAACTAAAACTAGTAACTTAATTATCATACAGTTCTTCACCCCGCGTTATCGTGCCAAGAACGCTGGCTGCGTTTTCCCGCTGAATGGCTATACTTAAGCTTTGAGCGGGAAAAGAACCAGCCCTCTTATTACCAGCAGCAACAACCAGTCACGGATGGAGTTCCTTTAGGAACTTTACCGCATGTGGACCCTACGGACCGATAGTTTCTAATATGTAGTCACCTCTCAGAGACTCATATGTGCGCCGCTTACTCAGTTCAGTTGCATTTGATGCCGCTCCGGCTCTAAATGAGGTACCCCTGAGATGAGAGGCCGCCAATGTGGCTACGCAAGTAGCATCTCACTCTAAGGCTTTACCTCTTTCCCAAGGAACCAATTTCATACCGTCGAGTATCTTGCCATCGTCACTAAATATTCCACAAGGCTCTAAAACCGAGGGAACATTTATACAGACAAGAGTTCTTCGGATGACATCGTTCAAAGAACCATGCCGTGAAAACCTACCAGCACATTTCTTACATGAAAGTCCGTGGAGCCCGAATTTGACGACGCTGCTACCACAGGGGCACTGATGGGGTTGACAAATCGCCGCTCCTTGTCGGATTCTTACGACAACGCGCAAGCTTTCTCAAACAAGTAATGTGCCGAGATTGCTTGTTGGTAAAGCCTGATTTCGGTCACTGTGGAAATTATGAAACAAATTTTTCTGCACGTTCTGTACCAACGGATTATCCCACTGTTTTTGTTGAATAACTTCAAGTGGAACATTTTCGCCGGGGCTGAGCGTTCGAAATGTCTATCTTACCTGTAGCAATGCACAAGTATACTTCAATATTTAAAATTATGTTACATACAGTTACATAAGTCACTGACACTGCGCGGAAACAAGGAAAGCAGGAAATGCAAAGCTTGAAAGATTTCTTATACTAATACCCCCAAATTTTATAAGTAAATTAGCTTGAGTCTAGAATGTTGTATTTAAAGTTAAATTTAGAATATTTTCTATACTATTGCATGCTTTAAGCTAAGCAAGGTATTGCATGCCTTAAGCGAAGCAAGGTATGTTCTACTATCGCCTAAAAATTAAGATTCCAACGTTTTATCGAATGAGATCGTATCTAGCAATCATATTATACATATAAATGATATAAAAAGTACATTGTTAGAAAGATAAATGATTGTTGAACTTACTCATATATTTTTTAAATTGATTAATTGCTATTTTTAAATAAATAAAGGGGTTTTAGTGGCTTATGGTGTGGATTTATCAAGTCCCAAAGGCTTGTAAACACGATTACTTTTGAAAATATCAACTGTTTAACTTAATATATTTTTTAATCTCTTCATCTATAATGTGGGAAGCCACTGAATGTAAATGGCAGTGTAATTTTGTTTTGCTTAGCTATAATTAATTTTTTTCGGCTCCAAGATGGCGCAACTTTCGTTGATTTGGTAGCCTAGTATGTAAATTATTTCTGTAAATAGGCGGATTCCGCCGTCGTGAGTGGACTTTGTTTCGGTTATTTGCAGCGGCTCAAAAAGTTCGCTGTACAAATACACAATATTCGAATAACCAAATTTCTTAAATACTTGATTATAATAATAATGAGAGGTTTTTTTATTACATTATTTTAAGTACGTACTAAAAGTAAGTATCAATTTTGTCATCATGGGTGTCATTTTCATGGTTTTCGAGGGTGTTGAAGCCGGTAGTGCTGTCGAAATTTATATCCAAGATGGCGGCTGCAATAGGTATCAATTTTTCATCATGGCTGTCACTTTCATGGTTTTCGAGGGAGTTGAAGCCGATAGGGTTGTCGAAATGTAAATCCAAGATGGCGGCTGAAGTAGGTACCAATTTTTTCATCATGGGTGTCATTCTCATGGTTTTCGAGGGTGTTGAAGCCGATAGTGCTGTCGAAATGTAAATCCAAGGTGGCGTCTGCAATAGGTATCGATTTTTTTATCATGGGTGTCCTTTTCATGGGTTTCGAGGGTGTTGAAGCCCATAGTGCTGTCGAAATGTAAATCCAAGATGGCGGCTGAAGTAGATACCAAATTTTTCATGATGGGTGTCATTTTCATGGTTTTCGAGGGTGTTGAAGGCGATAGTGTTGTCGAAATGTATTTAAACTACTTTAGAAAATTCCGTATAATCATGTTATACGTAATTTTTTTATTGTGCTTAAGTTATGCCCAATTGGGTTTACCAATTTTTTTAAGATTATTATCATCTTTTTATCTTTTATCTTCTTTTTATCTATTTATCTTTTACCATATGCGAACATTTCGAGACTGGAATGCAACGGAGTAAGTACGTATTTTTTGTATAATGAGTCGTCGTTAATTGCTATCGCTTTTTATGTTATAATTATGATAACTTAAATATAGACAAAGTAATAACACCTAATCAATCGACATTTTTCATATATGAGATGCTTATTGTGTACATTACAAATACAATAAATTGTTCTAATTTAATGACGAATGCGATGAAATACAAGTAAGAGATAACCATGGATATTGGCGTCATTTCATCCGGTCAATCTTAATGAAGTCATTTGAAGGTTAAATAAATAACAATTGATTTTATGCAATTTGATAATTTGAAAACCATATCTTACTTTTAAGTATTATAACTAGTAAAATAATAAAATGTAAAACAAAAATGCCTATGCTTCTGCAGCATATTTGTTTGACGTTGGTTGCAGGTCTCCACGGGTAATTGTAGCTTACAATCAAGTAGGTAATTAGCTCGTGTTTTTAACCAACAATAAAAACAAGTGGTAAAATTAAAATATTTGTGCAACCGACTTCAATATAGATACTCGTAAAATGAGAACATCATACATTGATGATGTTCAATTAAATACGCATTATTAAGGATAACTCAAAAACTATAAGTCAGATCTTGTTCAATATTTTGATATATGGGACCACATGAGAAGTATCAGCTTTCAAATAATAAGAGACATGCTGCAGCGATATAAGTAGTGTAGTTGTAGTACGAATGGGTCGGCTCGACCGGGGAAGGACCAGAGAATACCAATTCTCACAGAATACCAGCGTAAAATAACAGCTTAACACTGCTGTGTTTCGTATGGTGAGTGTAGAGAACCGGAGACCCTTTTTACTGGAAAAGAGGCATTCCATCTTAGTCCTCACGGGTGAAAACGCATCTGCAATTTGGTTCGCAAACGAGGATAAATATCGATGTCTATGGGCCACAGCAACCACTTACCATCAGGTGGACTGTTTGTCACCATGTCCTATATAAAAAAAGAAAAGTCATCAAAATCGGTTGACCTAGAAAAAAGTTCTGATTTAAGCTATATGCAAAAAATTAAGTGTATTGAGTTCCTCCTCCTTTTTTAAGTCGGTTAAAAAAATGAAATTCAATATTTTAAAGCTTTATGCAATTTGGATATAATTCTATGTTAGTACAAGGAGTTCCGAAACGCGATTTCTTAGTCCACTGGGAATAACATTATTAAAATTTTTGACTGCATTATTCTCCAGGGTGGTTCTGCTTGCAACTTTAGTATTAAGGGAAAATAGAAATAAGGACCCACTTTCCCAAAAAAAAAAATTAGGGGAAATATTATAAATAAATTAATAAATACTTTTATTATATTTTTTATCTCTACTTTTCGATCTCGGATCTCCTGGCACCCGACCGTTTAATAAAAAGGCTTAAGTGAAGACATACTAGATCTATAGTACAGAGACCTCTTGGAGAATTTCTTTTTTGTGGTGTACATTTAGGCCTCTCTCCGCATACATAATAAAATGTCTTCGAGGAAGAGCCCAAGAACACACAGACTATTGGCAAAAAGGGGAAAAATCTTGTTGGCCTATCATCAGGTAGGGATGCTCAATGGGTTAGGATACAAGGCTATTGAGGAGAGATTTGATTTGAGAAACCTGTCTTTATCTTGTCTCAATACATAAAAAGTGGTAGGTTGTGACTTGCTGCTTACTAAATGAGAAACTCATACTAAACTCTTAACTGACTGCGGGGTGTAACATCGGTGTAAACTGCTAAGGGGTGAACTTGTGGGCTGAAAAGCCTTATATAGTCAGCATCCACCACTTTACAATTCTACTAGATCTTGCTTAAACTCTAGCGTTCCACTCTTACCGACTAAGGCAATCCAAAATTGTGGAGTTACAAACTTCCCGGGAGAACTTGGTCATGGCTCGACATTCACCAACAGCTCGCCACAAGCTGCCCTGTGTGCTTATTTTTTATTTAGAAGAGGTGGCAAATAACCATGTGGCTCACGGTGACGGTAAGTGACAAACGCCGCCTATGAACAACTGCAACACCAGAGGAAAACAGCTGCATTGCCAGTATTAAAAAAAGGAGTAAGCTCATTTCTTGAACGTCCTTAAGTCGCATCGGTAAGGATAGGTTACCAGTGGTAATCGATTCTCTTAAGAAGTCGTGTGGGAAAGAAACTTTAATGGGTTGTATAGTTTCTATCGTGATTCTTATATTACGGTTTGTAATTAAAGAAAATAAGTTATAATACATGGAATCGGTATATTGGCCTGTCGATTTTTATGTCTTTTCGTTGATCGCTTTTTGTAAATTATTAACAACGTCGTAAGTAGAGCAGGATACAGTATTAGGATAAGTATCCATTATTTTTGTCTTTACGAGCGTGATTTGAAAGAGTGCGTTGGTAGAAACGTGTAATTGGTAGCTTTAGTCATTAGTATTACTCGCTTTGATATGGAAGAACCACTTTTTAGTTTCGTTTCGAGCACTCGCAGTCAAGTTTCACTCCTACACACTAATATAATGTTAACTGGCCATTAGAGGCACAGGCAGAATCACTATAGATCAAAACCCGAAAACAAACA